TTGTGAATTGGTTATCAGTGAAAGGTTCTAATTGAGCTGCCGTTACAAAGAGACTCTTGGGCCTCACGAGCAAAAAGAAATCGTTAAACAAGAAACCAACCATCTCCTTGTTTCCTCGTACCTATAATTAGTGGGTGTGGTTAAGTGGGAGGGGCAGGTTAAAAGAAAGTACTTTTGTGAATTTTCCCCAATGGAGGAGTTTCCTTGAGCCCATGAAGTTAGTTTGTGAATTAAAGATCAGTTTCTAAAAACAATACAACAATTGTAATGTAATGCAAGTAAATACAGTCAATACAATGATTGGAGCCATTTTTGGTAAAAACCATGGGCTATAGCCTTGGGCATTTTTAAAAAACTGGCCGATTTCTTAAAATGGTCATACTCAAAAAATATTTGTCAGAATCAGCTCAAACTTTCTACACAGCACAAGGACATCAATGTGTATCAGAAAATTTAATAAAAATTTGGGATGATTTTGGAGCCATTTTTTGGAAAAAACCATGGGCTATAGCTTTGTGTATTTAAAAAAACTGGCCGATTTCTTAAAATGGTCATAACTCGAAAATATTTGTCGGAATCAACTCAAACTTTATACACAGTATAAGGACATCAATATGTATCAGAAAATGTAATAAAAATTTGAGGTGATTTCAGAGCCATCTTTTGAAAAAAACCATCAGTGTACATGTACACTGTACATGGCCCCACCTGACTAATACATGTACATTACCGTACATATACATGTACATGTATGCACAGGTCTGTACCTCATTTAATGCCACGTGTACATGAGATTGAAGCCACTCAAGTGATTCAGCGTTTTCCTTAGCTCTCACTCCATCATTAACTTGTGAACACAATGTCTCTGATGCTTGTAATGCCAACAATAATGACTCATAGTCTGGATCAGTATCAGGAGTATACTCTAATATCTAATAGGGAAAGAGAGAGAAATGTACATGTATATGTATGATAAAAATTATGATTTAAAGTACATGTGCAACTTTCATGGTCAAATACATGTACATGTACATCTATTTTAATTTAATTTTTAGCATAGAGATACTGTCTAAAGACTTCTCTAGAAGCATTAGAAGGTAGAGAGAACCTCTATAAGTCTTAATAATGACCAAGTTGTACTTGCAAGGTGGTGAAATCAATTATAGGAATACTTTTTACCCCATTACCTTGTTTGCCATGCTGTACAATACAGTACAAAATTTTTTCTTTTGCCATACGTGTACACATGTACAAATTAAATTACTTTTCCAATTAGTAGAGGGTACTTGGTGACACGTTGCATTGGCTTAAGGAGGAAAGAGGAAAGGGGAAGTCCCTTTGTACGAGGGTCCTTGAGACAAGCCTGCTCATACTCCCTAAAAGAAGGATCCAGACTTTTACTCTGAAGTAATGTACAAGCTGTTAGTTGACATGAACACCATCGAATGTGAGGAGTTAGTTTTGGTATGTGCTCCTGGAGTACATCACCAATTGATCTTATTATTGCACCTGATGTACGTAACCTAATGAATAATGCTCTGAGAGAGAGAGAGAGAACATAAAGCTATGAGCATTGATCCACAACCAACTGTATGGTGTACAGTACATGTAAAGTACAGTAGTACGTAGATTTTAGCACGTCGTAGATTTTGCTGGCATTAAAAATTGCAATTAAGTTATTATTACTAGTAATACATGTACATTATAGCAACATGAGATACATGTACATGTACATGTACATGTTGAACATGTATTTATAATACTTGCGGGCATTAATAATTTGCAATTTTTATCACTAACACAAAATTCATAATTAATAGTACCAATAACCTTATAAGGTATGTGTACAATGTACAAGTATAGTCTGTTCAGGTTGACTTCTAACTCATTACTTTATGCAGACTTGGCTTCAAACATGGTCGAGGTGTTAAGTAGATGTTAAGTGAGTATGAAGTAGTTATGAATTTTAGTATTATTAATTAGCATGCATTATAAAAACATAGGATTAAAACACTATTATTATACATAAAAATCAGACTCATCCAGAGCGGCCAAGTCATCATCAGAGTCAGGGTCTGATGGTAGTACTTCATCATCACTACTATCATATTAATCATCGAATTCACCACCAATTAGACAACATAGAATCATGGATGACAAATTCCCGAATTCCATCCAGTTCCCAGTAGTGATCCTCAAAATTATCTTGAACATGTTTTACCAAGTTCTTCTATTTATCAGGAGTAACTAAATCAAACCCTTCCTGCCCTGGCTATTCAATCTAACTCCTTGCTTTCTCTTCTTCTCACTTTGGACGCCATTTTAAACAATTTATTCTGACTTCCGGTCACACCTCCTGTTGTGATTATAATGGTAGGCAGTGGCTTCTAAGTGGCGGCAGTGCTTAGATCTCGCAGCTTTTATACTTTCTGCAGTTCCTAAAGTCTTATCCACTAGTCCTATACATCAAATGAAGCGCATTGCTGAGAATATATCTGTGTGTAAATTTGGTATTGATTAGATTAAAAACCTTTGAGTTATTTAAGTTTCATTTAGTTAGAAGTCAACCTGAACATACTATAGTTCATTCCCTTACTTAGAGAAAGGTGTGTTACATTCAATAAGCTCCTCCCAGTTAACGACCACCTGCTGTACCTCACTGGGTGACAATACTGACGAGTTCTCCATTGGAATAAAGAACACCTAACAAACCACACCTATAATAACTGACCACACCCATCCCACTCACCTCTTTAACGAGATTGAGACTGTGTACATAAGCTTTCTCTGAGTGTATCAGTTCAAATATAGCCTCTTGTCTCTTCTTCTGATTTGAGGGTATCTTAGCCAATACATCAGCTTCTAACATCTCTGACCCTATTAATAAATATTATTAATAATAATAATAATTAATTTTTTACTGATCAAAAAATAAAAATAAAACAAGCGTAACAGTGTAAAAAATATTCCTATAATTGATTTCACCACCTTGCAAGTACAGCTTGATTTTTATTAAGACTTATAAAGGCTCTCTCTACTTTGTGATGCTTGTAGAGAAGTCTTTAGACAGTATCTTTCTCTTGCTGTTAGAAAGCTCTTAACTTTGTCCCATGTTTAAGCCGCCATTTTGTTTGCCGTGGCCACACCCACTACGTAAAGGAGCGTGGGCGGGTGGTTGCTAAGGCTTATGAATTTTGTTATTTCTCCAATACAACATGTATAGAAGAAATGTAAGTGTGGACATACAAATATATATATATATATACAAACATCGCACGTGGGTGAAATCAATTATAGGAACGACCTGGGGGCTACGCCCCCAGGTCGTTAAAAACATTTTGTACTGTATTAAATGCAAGAATATCAAAAGGTGGGTCAATTTAAATACAGTGCATGTACTGCATGTACTGTATATATATATACGTGTACATTTGCATGTAAAAAGTCACAAAATTCTAAGTACATTTACAAGTACATGTATAAATATAGGTCATATTAACATTACTTGTACACACAATAATTTAACATACATGTACATGTATGGTATGTGTATACTGTACATGTATCGTTGCTTACATTGTGAGGCGTGTTCGGATGATTTCAAATGATCGAGAGGTTGTACATAATTCTTAGGAAAGAGACCCACTTTACCATTGAGTTCACCTTTCCACCAGTCATCCTCACCATCCTTATTAATCACTGATATCACTGATCCTTTATGGAATGAGAGTTCATCTTGTGACACTGACTCATAGGTGTACAGTGCCAGGACTAGACCACCAGTCGAGGGAGTGGAGGAACTGGGCTATAGGGAAGGGAAGGGGAGGGAGGGGAATGAAAGAGAAAGAGGAAGGTATTATTAATATACAATGTACATGTACATGTATATGTAATTGTAACAATTTGTTACATGTACATAAAATAAATTAATACAATTTACTTCAGTTAATGTATGAAGTAAAATAAGGAATTAATTATGCATACACGTACATGTACAATAAAATTAATTAATGATTGTATGCTGTATAATTCATTGCATATTTCACGTTCCAAATTAGTAAATTGACCATTAATTGTTGTACATGTACATGTATGTTTTTGTAGTACCTACATGTACATGCATAAGTCATAATCCTGATGAGTGATGACCATTTACAAAGTACAGTATGTTCAAGGGTCCTTAGAGATAATACATGTACATGTACAATTTGTACATGTACATGTACATCATAATACAACAAAAGTACATGTTAGTGCATGCAATGAAATACATTTGTACATGAACAGTACATGTACATGTAATAATAATTAATTACTTTGACATTAGGAACGGGTGAGGACACTCCTCCAGTACCAGAGGTCAATAGTTCAATCCGATTGGCCGGAAACCAGCCACACCTCCTCTGCATTCCTCTACTCTGCAGTTGCCCCTCCCACCAGCCGTTAGGCTCCTGTCGTCTCACCAGAACCAACTGACCTGGTACCAGTCCTAACTGGTTCTCTTCCATAGCTATAAAACCGACAGTGACACGCCCTACTAGTCTAGAAAGCCCCGCCTCTTTTGTCGTCAGTAATTGCAATGATGGGCTATCAGGAGCAGAGAGAGGAGAGACATAAGTTGATGGGAATAATCCTTTTCTTCCGTCTATTTCCCCTAGCCACCATTCACCGTCTTTCTTTAGTACTTTAATGATGTCTCCCTCAGCAAATGCAAGGTCTCCATCTTGTTCGCTGTTGAATGTGTAATTGGCTTTGTACGTGTCGGAAGTAGGTGTGTCTGAAGGGGCGGGGTCACTGGATACAGGGCTTGAGACTGGCTGAACATATTTACCAGGGAACCAACCAACCTACAGTACATGTAATAATTAAGAGACAGTATTAAATATTAATCAGTTTTTGCTATAACGATGTACATGTATTAACATGGTAATGTATTAAAGAGTTAAATTTAGCAAATTTGTCAATGCTCATTATAATTATAAATATTAATAACATTTGTTATTAATACATTAAGACATACATGTACATGTACACGTATTTACAGTATATGCTACAGCCTAAGTACAGTATAATCTACACCGTACATGTACACTACATGTTACCTTTCCATCTTTCTCTCCCATCCACCAACCCTCTCCTCTTTGTTTCACAGTGATGATGTCTCCTTTGTGTATTGAGAGATGGTTTGGTTGAGTCCCATCCCAATCATACATCACCTCCACATTGTCCTTGTCATCTAAAGGAAAGGAATACATTGCATAACTATAGCACTACTAATAACTCAAGTATACATGTACATGTACATAATTTTATTAATATGTTATAATTGGGATTTTCTGTATAATGATAATACACATAGCAAGTTGGCAAAATTTTCTCATCCTAAATCTACATGTACTGTACCACTTAAGTGTTCATGTACATGTACATGTATACTGTACTATACCATGAGAAAGATTTTATTATTCTATCAAGAGTAGGTTGTACATAAAGAGAGGATCCACACAACTCGTCCTTTATCTTATGAGAAAGTTGTTACACTACATGTACATGTACCTCAAGAGGGAGGGCAAAAGGGAGGGTATATCTACTCATGTTACTGAGACTAACTGAGACTGGGTATAGCTTTATCACTACAACAACTAGTGAACTATTGTACTACATAAGAAGAAGCTTAGGAACATTAAGTATCACTAAAGTCTAGACACAATAAAGAGGCTACTACTTCTACTCAATACTAACCGAAGATGAAGCTACCTATCATTATGATAATGTGTGCTGTGGCTAGTTTTATTAACATAGCTAGTGCTGAGGATTTCACAATTGATTCCTTAGCCAATGCTCTACAAGGAATAGCTGAGACTTTAAAAGCTAACAGCTGGAGGTTTCGTAATGATACAAGTACATGTACATGTACATGTAACTGCTGGTGGTCAAAGGGTCCGGAACCTATCCCTACCTCTTGCAAGGATATAAGTGAGAAATGGCCAAGAAGCATCTCTGGGTATTATGAAATTATAAACGAAATTGGATCTCCAGCCTATGTTTACTGTAGCATGGAGGAGCTGTGTGGTTCAGGAGGAGGATGGACAAGACTAGCATATCTGGATATGAGTGACTCTACAGCAAACTGTCCTTTTGGGTTTAGACTGTACCAGTCTAAAGGAGTTAGAGCTTGTGGTAGACCAGTAACAAGCAGTGGTAGCTGTGTATCAGTTCAGTTCCCATCTAATAATATCAGTTACTCTCAAGTGTGTGGTAGAGTAGTGGGATATCAATATGGATCTCCTGATGCATTGAGTAACTGGCACAATAATCATCACAATGATCTCAACTCCTATTATCTTGATGGTGTTAGCATCACTCACGGGTCACCTCGTCAACATGTCTGGTCATTAGTTGCAGGAATAAGAGAATCAGCTCTTCATGGTGGAGGAACAAACAACTGCCCATGCCTCACTGGGAGCAAGCAAACTGTTCAATCCTTCATTGGAAAGGATTACTATTGTGAGTCAGGGGCAAGTTCAAGTTGGGGGCCAATTCTCTACACATCTGATCCACTCTGGGACGGTAAAGAATGCCCTACTCTTGAATCACCTTGCTGTACTGCTCCAAATCTCCCATGGTTTCATAAAGACTATGGTAACACTACCACTACTGACTTTATTGAGTTGAGGGTCTGTGCTGATCAAGGAACAAGTGACGAAGACGTTCCTATTAGTTACTATGAGCTGTATGTTAAATAACTGAACCCACTGACTTAAATGCACATTGTACTTGTAATCTTGTACATACATGTATACATGATATACATGTACATGTACATGTAAATTGTACATGTAAGGTTACTATTATTTTTGCTAAATTTAATAACGCTTTTCTCAATTGCAAGTAAATGTACATGTACAAGTAGAAGCATACACATGTACATGTACATGTATGATTACATTGATTACAATAACTTACTGTTGCTAGCAGTGTTAGGAGGAGGAGTAGGAGGAGGAGGAGGAGAGACAGGTCCATCATCAATAGGTTGTAGGTACGCTAACGGTGCCCACCCCTCCCCTCCCTCATGTCTCACCCTCACCCACCCATCCTGAGCCGACTGGTGTTCAGTACAACCAGTGACAATATCTCCCTGAGTGAATGACACCTCTTCTTTATCAGTAGCTGAGAAGCTATACTTAGCCCGATACGTGATAGAGGGTAGAGGGGTATTAGGGACATCCCCTGCCCCACCTGTGAATTGGGGTGTGGTTACATTGCCATAAAAGGCGTCGGAGCTTGAGTCCGGAGAGGGTGTGGTCTTCCAGGGATCTGATGGGACCACGTTTTGGTACGAGTCCTCAAACGAGTTTTCAAAGTCGGCAGTGAATACGTTGGAATAAGAGCTAGCCACCGGGTCCGGGGATGCTATAATATTGAGGTCTTGAGGGGGCGGGGGAAGATCGTAAAGAACCTCCTCAGCTACAGAAAGTGGGCGTGGCTTCTCTGGAACCTTTTTAACAGAGTCGGGAGGCAAGTCGTAAATGGCTTCGTTAATCGTTGAAAGTGGGCGTGGCTTGGCTTGTATTTGTGGTTTTGGTTGTATCTGAGGTTTATCAGTTGGTTGTGGTTTTTTAGCACTGTCAGGAGGTAAGTCATAAAGTGGCTCTTGCTTAACAAGGCTTGCTGTTTCTTGAACTGGCTTAGAAGGAGATGGGCGTGGCCTAGCAAGACCAGGGGGCGGGGCTATGGCATGAACGGGTGATTTGGGAGGTGGCTTAGGTGCAACTGGGGGCGGAGTCTTCTCACGAGGCGTGGTTGGAATGGGTGGGACCACTGGAGGCGGAGTTTCATCCCAAGGTGCGGTTTGAGAGGGCTGCATCGATTCCGGAAACTCATAAATATAACTATCAGATTGGGGCTCTTCCGGAGTTGGGAGGCCTTTGGGTAATATTGGAGGAGGCGTGTCTGTGGTTGCCATGGAAATAGGAGGTGGGATTGGGGGCGGGGCCTGTGACGATTCTTGTGTCTCAAAGTCAAAAGTGTCTGGTTTAGAGTGTCTTAAATTAGTCGGTTTAGGCGGTAGGGATGGTTTTGGCGGTACTGGTGGTTTATTGGGAGTGAAGGAGGAGGATGATGATGACATTGCCTTGGTCTCTCGTACCACATCCTCCAGTGACTCGTACACTACAGTGGTTGATGGTTGCTGGGTGGGTGTGGCTTCGGGTATAGTTGATACAGATGAAGATTTATTACCTGTACAACAAGGAAAAAATAAATAGTAATTATAACTATACATTAAAAATTAAACTACTGTACATGTACATTTACATGTACATGTACATGTACAATGTATGAAAAATTACAATAATTATCATTGGGCCCGCAAATCAATGTACATGTACATGTACATTGTACGGTATATGCTCTAGTAATTTGCTAATACAGTACATGTACATTTACATGTATCACTGATTTTATTTATTGATTTATTATTATTATTCTTACTGTCATTAGTAGTAATGTTGATTCCCTTAGGGTCATCAACAGCTGATGTTGAGGTGGTGTTCTTGCTGGTCTCCTTTTGCTTTTGTTTCTGTAGCTCTTTCTTCCTCTGCTGTAGCTCAGCAACCTTCTTCTTCATTGCCTTTGAATCCTCTTTAGAGGGAGACTGAGGGAGGGAGAGAGGGAGGGAGAGAGAGAGGGAGAGAGAGAGAGAGAGAGAGAGAGAGAGAGAGAGAGAGTGATGTACATATACATGTACATAAGTGTACATGTGTAATTACCAACAGTCAAAATATTTGAAAGGAAACACAAACAATGGACACATGTACAAAAGACAAAAGCTTTATACATGCACAATGTAGTTATTAATAAATGCATGTACATGTACTTACCACTGGTGTCTTTGATTTTGATTTGAATAAACTAAACCCTGAGGATGAACCCTGCTTGGCTAACATTTCCTTTTGCTTCTTTATAGCCTCGTCAGCCTATCAAGAATTAATAAATGAAATACAAATGTATCACCAAATGAAAACAATGAAAATGGTAGTACCTTTCTTTTTGTATCTTCTAAAGTTTTCTAATAAAAATAAAATAAATATTACATGTTACATGCATAATCAGAATTATACACACATACATGTACATAAAACATGTACATGTACACACACAATGTACATTATGTACAAATGTACATGTAAATGTTTATATACTTACAGCGTTCCTCTGTGCTTCCAAAGCTTTTTCTTCCTTTTCTCTTCTTTCCTTCTCTTCCTTTTCTCTCCTTTCCCTCTCCTCCTCCTCCCTCCTCCTTCTCTCTTCCTCCTCCTCTTCCCTCCTCCTTCTCTCCTCCTCTCTCTTCCTTTCTTCTTCTCGTATCCTCTCTCTCTCCTCTTCCTCCAGCCTCTTAGCCAGCTCCAACGAGGCCTTCTCCTCACTAGCCCTCCTCTCCTTATCAAAGGCAATCTTCTCCTCGATCATCTTCTGGTGTCTCTCTATCTCTCTCCTTTTCTTGCTAGCTTCTTCTTGTTTTGCTATTTCAAGTTCAAGTGCTTTTTGTCTTTTCTGTGACTCCTCAATGACTCTCCTTCTCCTGTCCACCTCTTCTTGCTGTCTCATGGTCTCCATTTGTCTTCTTGTGTCTTCTTTCTTCCTTTGGAGGGACTGAACTAGCCCTTCTTCCTTTTTACAGTTAGACTGAAGAGACTAGGAGAGAGAGAGGGAGATGAAGAAATTTGAAAATAAAATAAAATTAAGGTACATATACATGTACAAAAGGAGCAACATGCAAGTACATGTACATACAGTGTAAAATATACATGTATTCAGTCAACAAATCAGATACATGTACATGTATACCAAAACTTAAAGCATGTGAAACTGAAATACAATAAAATTAGTACAATTATGACAATTGGGACTATAATGAGTTGACTAATTTCAATCCAAATGCAATTACATGTAATGTACATGTACATTACATGTAATGTGTACATGTACTGTACATACATGTACATGTATGTATAATAAAATCTTACTATTAAAGTATTCTTCTTTTCATTCAATGCAGTCCTCATCTCCTCCAGTAGGGAGCTCTCCTTGACACTAGTAGTCCTCATGTTGGTTAGGTTATTGGAGAGGATCTTGTAATGCTCCATTAGCTGAGCATCTCTTGTCCTCTCAGGACTGGAGGAGGAGATACTGAACAATGCCTGCTGGTGACTTCTCTTTTGGGCTTCTAACTGAGTGTACTCATTTTGAATAAACTGGAGGAGAGAGAGAGGGGGAGATGGTGAGAGTGAGAGAGAGGGGAGACAGAGGGGGGAGAAGGGAAAGGAGACAGAAATAAAAGTAAAGGTGAAAGGGGAAAGAGAAATGACTGAATTAGGTGGAATGGAGGAAGAATGATGTAAATGCAATTACTATAATTATTATATGCATGTACTGTACATGTACAACTATAGAATTCTGAACATTACCATTGTGAATGCATAACAAATATTTTACATGCATGTACTGTAATGCAACAATTTTTATAAGGTACATGTACATGTACATGTAGATGCATATACATGACAATAAATTTTTAATAATAATAATTAATACATCTACAAGTAGAGTGTACTTCTTTACTTTCATTTCCGCTGCTTTTTGTAACAGTTGAGCATTATCATTAGCCCTAGTCTCCTTCAGTTGATCAATACTCCTCACCAGATCAGTATGTCTCTCCCTCTCCTGACTCAGTCTGATACCCAGTGTCCTTCGCTCTACCTCAATCTTCCCCAAATGTTCAACAATCTCTTGCTGGTATTGTCTCAAGGAGGCTATCCCTCCTCTCTCGTGTCTCAACTCTTCTTCCAGCTCAGCCTGTCTTCTCTTCATCCATTCTTCTTTTCTCTTCCTCTCCATTTCTTTCAGTTCTGCTTCTCTCTGCAGTGCTGCTTGTTGCATTGCTCTCTCTCTTGCTCGCTCCATTTCCAGAGCCTTTTGTCGTTGTTTCTCTAGTTCAGCTTGTCTCAGTGCTTCAGCTTTTTGTATCTCTTGTCTCTTTCTCTCTTCCTCCTCCTGCCTCTTCCTTTCTCTTTCCTCCTATTAAGTAAAGACTTCATTATGAATTCACTGCTTTAATCATCTTAAAATTTATTCTCACTAATTTGGTCTTATGTGTACATGTACATGTACATGTACATTGTACATGTATATACACATGTACATGTACTGTATATGTATTTTTAAAGAGACTTTACATGTACATGTACAATGTATTATTATTTCTTATCACAATAATTGGCCGCTATCATTAAATAACATGTACATGTACATGCATGTTTTATAAATAAAATAAGAGATATGGTGTACACAGTACATAAAATACAGATTACAAGTGAACTGTTCTTTCCCCTCTCTCTCTCTTTTACTTTTTCTTTGTCTTCCTGTTCCTTCAATAATCGTCTCCTTCTCTCAAGTTCATTCCTTCCTTCATCAAAATTTTGTTTTTTCTTGTCCTCAAAACTGCTAAAAGTAGCTCCTCCCCCTACTCCAGTTCCTCCTCCAGCCCTCTGTCCCATGACTGGGGTAGTTCCTTTGGTTGGTTTCAGTTCAGGAGGGAGGGAGGGTGGAGGTGTTAGTCCTTTCTCTGCTCTGTCCAGGAGAAAGATGGCGATACAAAACTCATCCAAAGAGAGACGACCATCTTTATCAACATCAGACAGATCCCTGAGAAAAAGAAAAGAAGATACATGTACATGTACAATCATCATAATACATATGTAAGTGAATTTATAATACACATGTACATGTACAGTATACAGGGTTCTGCCCAAAAAAATTAGAGATGGTTGGAGACTAATGTAGTTCCTTTTAAATTATGTACACCATACTAGTAGACTACAATATCATGCTTTATGTATGGTTATTAGTATTAATTGGATGGTTGGTCTAAGTGATGAACTGGCTGGTTCATTTGTTGAGGTGGTTGTCCCGACCACCCCCGACCACCATAGGCAGAACTATGAGTATATGTACAGTACATTGTAAATGCATGAGAGAATTAATAGAATTAAGCCTATAGTAACAAATCAATGATAATTATCAAATTATCAATTATAATAGTAAATTATCATTTGTAACTGTAAAAGGAATTACAAGTAACACACTCCGGCAATAAAACAATACAATACCATACATAATGTAATACATGTACTAAGCATAAACACCATTTCCGACAAATATGTCAGTTATTATTCTCCCAAAAATACAAACAAAACTATCATAAAACACACATTCATTAATATTACCATATCTTTCTTAACGTCACTTGGTCCAGGTTAGATCTTGTTAAAACTCTCTTGGCTTCGTCAGCTGATACAAAGCCACTCCTACTCTTATCACATGTATTGAACATGAGATTATACTGGCGTCTGGACTCGGGACTCATGGTCCAACTGGTCTGACTTAACGAGCTCATGGACACGCCCCTCCCGACTCCACCTGCCCCTAACATAGGCGACTTATTAACCAACGGACTGGATTGATACGGGGCACCATCTTTTCTTAATGACCGAGTGGAGGCGTGGCTTTGAAGCTATGAATAATAATGAATTAATAAATTTATAATGATAATGATTTTACTGTATAGTGGTTATATTTTACTGAAAATAAATTTCGCATTTTTTTATTAAATTTGAAAATTAAAAAGGCGTGGCACACTAGGAAAAATGGCTGTGGAAGGTAAGATTTGCAAAAAATTTATAACAACTAAATGCTAATTTAAACAAATCCGCAAATTTTTATACCAACAAAATAAAACCCCTATACGGTATAATGAAAGTGTGTGTGTGTGTGTGTGTGTGTGTGTGTGTGTGCTTACATTCATTGCTGATAAAGAGGATGTAGCTGTTGATGCTTGTGCCTGTCTGATTAGATTCATGGCCATAACAAATTCATTGAGATTAATGAATCCATCATTATTCTGATCCACACTGCTCCATATCTGGGCCAGCTGGGGGGAGGGGAGACCGGAACGCTCAAACACAGGGCGAACCTGCTGACCTGTAGCGATACCAAAAAGAAAATAATTTGCATGTACATGTACATGTACATGTATAACAGTCAGAAACTTTTGGAAGACTACATGTAACATGGATACATACATGTACATGTACATGTAAACTTAATTCACAATGTGGCTAAAAACCTGCTTTTAAAAGTTTCTCAAGACACAAGAAATTTTACAAAATGGTCTTTTTCAAAAGCAATAAAAGTTGTTGCATGCTAACTGTGTACATGTACATGTACATGTACATGATGCGGTGTAAATTTGCATTAGTAAGTGACTGCCAAATAGAAAAGTAGTAATTGAAAATATCAACATCATACACACATGTACTTCTTAATTTGGCATTTTACCTTAAGGCAAGTTACATGTATTAGTACATGTACATGTAAATGTTTTTTAATACAACTACATGTAAATGTACATGTATAATGAGATAATACATGTACATTGTACATTACAATCTGTAATTAACAGCATTTATAGCAATGCATGTACATGTACATGTACGTACATAATTTACATGTACATGTATGCATGTGTCTACATGTAGTGTACTAATATTTACAAACAAACCAAAGTGCCAGGGTTTGCATTCATGTGCAGTGTACATGTACATGCACCTACGTGTATTTTGTTACAAATAAAAAAAACAAGTACATGTACACAGTGTACATGTACTGTACGTACATGCACATGTACATATAGAATTCTTAATAGAATTAATTTAACTCATCAATTATTGTTTAAAAACCGACATGCACATGTATCCATTTAAAGGGATGGAATTTTGACGATAATTGGTGAATTTCAATCGGACAAATTGGCAGCCATGAGTCAAGTATTATAGTACAAATGTGTGGATTTAATTTTGGCAAACGGCAAAGAAATTATTACACATTTAAAGTTTTAAAACTCTTTCAAAATTACATGTACCAGCTATACATGTAAGTAGATGTACATACAATAATGATGCATGCATGCATATATTAAAGACTTTTAGTAGTAAATATTCTTGTATTGGCAAATGAGAATCAAATTGACAAATTTTCCAAATTTAAGTTGCTCGCTCCAAAATTACATGTAATATCATGCAATTACATGTACATGTACATGTATATCCGATTATTAAATTAACTTTAGCATAAAATTAATTGCACTACTTACTAAACAAGTATTGAGACACACATGCATGTACATGTACATGTGCATGTACAGTATGTATCATACATGTAATAGTACATGTAAAATTGTAAAAAAACAGGTAGTCCTACCTCCTATCATGCCATTAACTGGCCCAAGGGAATAGAACAACTGCTCATCACTACCACCACTGGCACCCCAGCCTGACCCTGTGGAAAGAAAACAAGAAGTTAAAATGGAGTAGAGAGAGAGAGGAGGCGGTTAAGGCCCTTCTCTTGCCTTGTGGAGGTAGAGGGCTAGTCCTAGCTGGTAGCGTCCAGCTGTGGTAAGACATTAAAGTACACACTCGTTAATATCTGAAGCTCAATATGAAGAGAGAGAGGGAGACAGGGAGAGCTTTTTTCAGTTTTTATTGGGTTGGGTCACTGTTTGAGGGACGGGCGTTAATTAGAGTAACATCAACAATGACGTAATGGGGCGTGCCCATGAAGTGGGCGCGGTCGTATAGGCGTGGTAGGTGACGTCAGCATTAATCAGCAGTGCAAAACATCACAAGTATTTCTTGTGATTTGGTCATGTGAATAGAAGCAGACAGAACTCAGAGAGACAAGAAAGAAGCAATGGCCTTTAGAAAAACAGATCCTAAAGGTAAAGGTGCTTATATTTCTTTACATAAGGTTATATATGTAGTTTTAGTCATGTAGAGTGAGTTTTAGTATTTTTTGTGTTTATTTACTTGCAGAGCAAATGCGACAGCAGCAGAAAGTGTTAAAGAAAACAGGACGAGAGCTTGAGAGAGACCGTGGGCAGTTGGAGAGACAAGAGAAGCAACTGGTAATTGATTAATGAGTGGGTGGGGTTGGTTATTAAGATTATTTATTATTAATAGGAAGCTGAGATAAAGAAAGCTGCAAAAAGAGGAGACAAACACGTGAGATAGACTCTAATTTCACTGTCTTTTAATTTGCATGACAAAATAATGTACATGTACTTGAATACATGAATTACCCTGTACTGCCTGTAGTACGGGGTATTTTTGTCTAATTTTTGCAACTTTAAAAATTCATAAAATATCCAAAATTGATTGGAATCAGTTCAAACTTTTTACACAACATAAAAACATGAATATGTTTTAGAAAAAATTATAGAAATAGGAAATTCTCTCCTCATTTTTGATGAAATTTTACCAAAATCCCTGTACTATAGTACAGGGACTTTAACCCGATTTTTGAGCAACTTTAAGATTTTGTAAAAAAATTAAAATTTGATTGGAATCAACTCAAACTTTCTACACAACATAAGAACATGTATATGTGTCAGGAAAAATTATAAAAATAGGAAATTCTATCCTTTTCATTTTTGATGAAATTTTGCAAAAATCTCTGTACTATAGTACATGGACTTTGACCCGATTTTTGAACAACTTAAAGAATTTGTAAAAAATCGAAACTTGATTGGAATCAACTCAAACTTTCTCCACAACATAAGAACATGTATATGTGTCAGAAAAATTATAAGAATGGGGAATTTTCTTTATTTCATTTTTGACGAAATTTTCCCAAAATCCCTGTACTATAGTACAGGGACTTTGACTCAATTTTTGAGCAGCTTTTAAAATTCGTAACAAATCCAAACTTTATGGGAATTAGGTGACACTTTTCACACAACATAACATGTTTATTTATCAGGAAAAATTATAAAAATAGAGAATTCTCTCCTGTTCATTTTTGATAAAATACACTTAGTTCAATTTTTGGACCAACGTTAATTTTCATTTTTTACTTCACTGACAAGCTATAATTTTGAGTGATGTACCGTATAGCTCTAAAATTTTGTCGGTCAAAATTTTTGTCGAATTCGTCAGGTACTTTTGCTTGACAAAATTTTTGTTCTACGTGGGTAGTATGCAGATTAATAACAAAAATGACGAAAATTTTATTAACGAAAATTAATTTTAGCAAGAAATTAAGATTTTGACGAAATTTTTGACTGACGAAAATTAGGAGCTTTACAGTGCATGTACAAAATACAAATGTAGTCCCTAGCCTCTGATCAAGAATTTGATCTTAATGCAATGTACGTGTATGTTGATACTTATAGTTTATGTAGTACATAAGTACAAACTATATCTCTTAATTACTATAATTAGTAATCCTCTCTCTCTCCCTCTCCCTCCAGACAGCTACTGTATTAGCTAAGCAGTTAGTTAAACTAAGACAACAGAAAACTAAATCTTATGGACTGAGTGCTACCATAACAGCAACAGGACACCAAATGAAAGTATGTCAACTTGAGTTACCTCTAACACATTCAAAACCAACCCTATGGTGGTATAATATCTTCCCCATTATGATAGATATAATTCTCCCTACTTTGTATTACCTTATGCTTTTGGTTTAATTTGTACACAATGTAGTGAATTTACACTGTATATTTACCACACATATACATGTACATGTGCATGTATGGTATGTAACAAGTAAACCTATCTTTAATAATTGTACCAAGAGTATATACTCTTGATTGTACTAATATCATGTCATGTGATGTTCATGTGATACTGTAGGCAATGCAGTCTCAGGTTGCTATGACAAAGGCAATGGGCCAAACGTCCAAGGCAATGGCATCAATGAACAAACAAGTGAAACTTGAAGACATTCAAAGGACAATGCAGCAGTTTGAAAAAGAATCAACTAAAATGGACATGGCAGGAGAAATGAGTGAGTGGACATCTTACAATAATTTAGAATGAATTTACATTGTACTTTGTATTTCCAACTTAATTTACAACCTTAATTACAGTATAGCAAGAAATTTTTGTGGCCCAAAATTTTCACAGATCCGTCTAAAAATAATTTTTGTGGCTTTAATTTTTGTGGTTTTCTACTTTTTTGGCCATCTTGAACCCTATTAAATTGATTTTTGCAGATTTTATTTTTTGAATTTTGAAAAAAATGCGAAATCCACGAAAATTTTGGGCCACAAAAATTTCCTGCTATACGGTATTGCTTCTGGCTTAAGTTTTAATTGGGCAATTAACACGTAGATGTGTACCAATAGCAAATTTACAGACTACCGTAAAGTGCTTTAATTTGGCAGGGTTTTATTTTGGCAATTGGTGGTTTACAAGTAGAATCGCCAGTATTAAACCGCCAATCATTAATGCACATGCTCAGTAATGCACATGTACACAAAAATCGCTAAATTAAAGCCCTGCCAAAATAAAATGCTTTACGGTATATCACCAAATTAAACTGCTAGTACATGTATATTTATTATTTTCTTGTTGTTTCAGTGGATGATACAATGGATGCAATACTGTCAGGAGATGAAGATGAAGAAGATGAAGTAATTGGACAAGTACTGGATGAGATTGGACTAGAGTACACCAGCAAAGTATAAACAATATACACTTTCCTTTTACCCACTATACTCTCTCTTTTACTCTCTTTTTTTTCTCCCCATCTTTCTGGTCTTCTCTCTCTCTCTCTCTCTCTCTCTCTCTCTCTCTCTCTCTCTCTCTCTCTCTCTCTCTCTCTCTCTCTCTCTCTCTCTCTCTCTCTCTCTCTCTCTCTCTCTCTCTCTCCATTAGTTGGCTGGTGCTAAGGTCGCAGGTGGTAAGTTAGGACAGGAAGATAAAGAATTAACTAGTACTGACGATCTTGAAGCAAGACTAGCTAATCTGCATGCTTCATAATTATAATAATTACAAATAATATGTAATAATTAATTTATTGTTGTCATTGTCTTTATTATTAAATTTTTATTCTAATTAGACAAGTTTAACTCCAGTACCACCTTCATAATATGTTTAATTACTGCATAGGAACTAAGCATAGTTATTACTAATAGGACTAGTATCTATGGTTAGCACAAATGTCTTCTTGAAGTTCAATGGGAAGTGGGAACACTACTGCAGTTGTGGTTGGTTTGATGATGGCAATCATAACTGTGAGAATGTAAAGGATCTTTCATATGTCACTGTGGACAAGGATATGAAACATCAGCATGGGATCCTAAAAGATGCATAGGTATGGATATAAGATAATATCTTTTATATCTAATTTATATGGACAATGTTTAAAGCCTA